AATGGGAAATGACTTGCTCATTCTACATTTAATCAGAGCAACTACTTTTTGCAGCAGTGAATCAATTGTTTTCTTAACAGGATGTTGCCAGATGTGGAGCATACAGAGACTCTTCTTCACTGACCTACACCTCACTCTATCTTAAACAAGAAAGTGACAGCTGGGATCCAAAGGACAACAGGATTGTCCAGGTGACCAGGAAAATGGCTGACATAATATGTTACATGACCCAGTACTTGAGGAAGAAAGGCCCAATACCGGTAAGGACCATTAGAGGGCACTGTTTATCATCTTTGGCTCATTATTTATTCTCACTACTTTTCCACATTTGTTTCTCTTTCAGAATAAAGAGGCGTTTGTCACTGCAGCCAAAGACGTCATCTCCAACAGCCAATCACTGACCCAGTTCATTAGAGTCATTGCTAACCACTGCTTGGACAAACAATGTATGGTTGAACTGTCCCTTATTGTTGAGCAGATTCTGACCATCACAAACCAGCTGAACATCATCTCCAGGTCAGGAGGCTTTTGACCAGAGCTCTGCAACCTGTGTCTCTTATCTCCTGTTTTTTTCATAGCACCGCAGGTAGCGGCAGCAACACAGTCCTTGCTCTGCAACCTGTGTCTCTTATCTCCTTGTTAGGGTCACCTTACAGAGTTTTTTTCATAGCACCACAGGTAGCGGCAGCAACACAGTCCTCGCTCTATGTATGTGTTTAAAAAGTGAAGTAATTTTACTAGATAAGGTTGCAGACCCCTGAGTTAAACAAGTTTGAGGAAAATAAACATTTTCTGAAATCATATCTTCTGTTCACTTAGCGTAAATGCCGTAACACCTGGAAGCAAATCATCCGATGAGATCCTTGTGAAGAATACACAGAATCTCCTCCAAATCGTCCTGCGTGGCGTCCGTGCTGCAGAGACCGCCTGCATCACGGTAAATACAACTCATTATAACATGTCTTTTACTGACCCCAGAGTTCCCTAATGTCTAACAAAAACTGTTCTGTTGTTGTTTTCAAGGGTTTAAAACAGCCAGAACCACACTCTGATGGAGCAGAGGCCACAGCGCTGTGTTTCCAGTGGAGGAGAAACCTGGAGCTGCACCGAGCACAGCAGACCTCCAACCCAGAAACTGATGAGCTGGGTTTGAGAAAGACTTCCTCCCACCCCCTAGCACCCAGTCTGGCCCCACCAGTTGATGTGCATGGTGGTCGTTTCTAGTTTAGTGGGGAATTAAACAAGATGGAGAGTTCAAAAAAGATGGAGAGAGACATGGAACGTTTTGTAGAGTTAATGTTTTACACATCTGGCTGTATTTTTTTAATTAACCAATAGCCAAGGCCGGTGTTCTGAAGTTCCATGCCACCCATGGAAATTTCCTAACCTGCAGAAAACTATGTATTGTTTGCAGTCGCAAATTGGCCGATGTACGCATGCGCAGTTAACTCGGGTAGGAAATTTCCATGGGTAGGAAACTTGATTACTTGATTACTCCAACAGCGCTCACCTGCGTCCGGAGCTGCACCTGCGTCGCCACTCCCGTGCTCTCTCTCCTGCAGCTGAGCGCTAACCTCCGCCGCGCCCCCACAATGTGTATGTACATTGACTTTTTTATATAATTAGAATGTATTTTACATTGTTTTGCATGGTCGTGTATCTAATTTATTTACGTAATGTGTATGTTTTATATTTACATTGTACAACTCCACTGTGCATATAATTGTTTGGGAAAGGGTAATACAGTCTGGGAGGGTTGATGAAGGTTGAGGTTCGTGAAGGGTAAATATATACGTAACTCTCTCGCCTCTATTTTGCGGATTTTCCCTTTTCGCGGTGGGTCTTGGAACGCAACTACCGCAAATAGGTTTGCATGTGAAAGCCACCATGGTTTAAGGTCCAGTTTTGTTCAAAGGAACGGCAAGGAATGGCATGATATACTACATTAAACAGAAATTAACCTAAAACTTAAAATTAAAAAAACACTAAAAAAATAAGTAAAAATGTAATTTGCCTTGCCGCTGTGATCAGATGTGTGCGCACAAAGTAACTAATAAAATAATCAAGCAATATATACAGGCATGTTTATTGCAACAAGAGAAAAAGACACAGGGATAAAATCATTTGAGCAGGAGGGGGCAGTGTTGAACACATTCAATGTCAATTTAAACCACCAAGATATCTCAAACAAATTTCTTGTGTGTCTGGAACTGTGGCAGTTTATTGCAAATTAAGAATTAGCTTCATACAAAACATTTACAATCTGCAGACGATGTATGCTTGAATTGTCTATAATATCTAAAATAGTCTAAAACAAAAACTAAAAGATCAGTGAATTGTGAATAGAGTTGAGGCTAATTTGTCAGTCACAGCATGTTGCTTATATCACTGACAGACAGAGGTTGATAGAAAAGAACCCCTCTGTGTGAGTCATGTCTGATGCTTTAAATAAATGTGGAAAATGTGGGATGTGCCAAAAAACCCAAAAAAAAACAGGCTCTTCAAAAACTGTGATGTGATTGTACGTATGTACTTTGCATCATTCTTATGGTACTGCTGACAACGGCTGTGAGTATATAAATGAAACTATGAGTATATATATGTGAGTTTGAAGGATGGATATTTAATGGTAAGGCAATGGAGCGGTCCTTATACCCTGAGGCAAACAGTACGACTGTATATGTGAGGAACTGTCGCCTCAAAAAATAGACACTAAATCTCACAGCTTGACACATACATATACAGGAGTGTGCATACATTTTGAACCATGCCTGTTTTTATGTTTTGCCCATTAAATGTAATGAATGTGTTTTGTTTAGGTTCCACTGATATAATCTTGCATAGATATTTTCTCCAAAAGAAAAAAAATAGCAGCTCTTTGAATCCTTAAATTCAGTCAGTAATTGTGATGGCCTGAGTGACAACATGAAGACAGTTATGCTGTATGTTTGCAGACTCAGATCAACCTTAAGCCATTTTTGATGACCTAGTTTCACAGTAAAGTCACAGTCTGTCACTGTGTTTTCTGTGTTATCATCTATATGTCCGCCTTCTTAAAGTATGTAGATAGTCACAGCAAAGCAATGGCAGAATTTCCAGTTTCCCATTTCTTGGTCTTGTGGGAAATGTTTTGTCAATTATAACCAGTCAGGTTATATGGTTATTAGTGAGAATGTATTGCAGATAAATGAAAGAATGTGATATTATATAAGAATATTTGTTACTTATTGTCACTGTTAATAAATATTTAGTGCATAAATAGCAAACTAAGAATGAGAAAAGTAAAAAAAGAAAATGTTGATGCATGGATACTGCTGTTGTAATTTGGGGATTGAAAAAAATAACTCAGTTGATGAGTGAGCAAAGATTATTTTGCTAAATATTCTTAGAGACAAGTTGTAAAGACTAACTAAGTCTTTTCACATGAAAACAACAATTTTAACACAGCACAAAACTTCACATCATTGTTCACAGCCATCTGAACTGGTGTGTCCATGTTGATCTTAAAATCCCTGGACTGGCAAAAATATCTTTTACATGAGCAGAAGTCTCCAGTCTATCCACAACGCACAGCTTTTGCTCTGCATTTGGAAACAGCCGAGGGAAAATACATTTTCACCACATGGTCCAGTTGAGTAGCAATTCTGCAGCCTTAGACCATATGGTGTTCCCAGTCTCACACTGCGTTGTGTATAGACTGCAACACTTTTACTGTGTAAAGTGCTGCTTTAAAAAAAATGCAGGCTTTCTGCTTATTTTATTCTAACACATAAGACAATCAGATGATAAATGATAAGATGTACTTTTTTTCGATAGGTTTGAAAAATACAATGACTTTGAATTACTATAATTACTTGTTTTTTTTCTAAATGATTTGTGCATTTATTTAAGACTGCCATTCACTTTCATTTGTTTTGTCGAGTTTCTTGGCGTGGTGCAGAATTTTAAATGAACAAATGTCAGGGAGAAATTTCACACTATATTCAATTGAAGTATGGTAATGCCTAAGCACGATACACCCGTGGGCTGTGTGCACCTCAAATTACTGCTACACATTTGTTTTCCCAAACATCAGGATCAATAGGAGGGAAGCTACAAATCCCCTGTGCGGCGTCAACTCTATATATCCAATTGAAGCAACAACTGCTGACACGTAAGAGAAATGCAAACAAATTAAATTCTCTGAATCTGCTTGTCGGAGCACTTCCTCATATTTCCACCTAACCTCCACCCTCCCACTCACCCACCCCCCAACCCTCCGCAAAAACCCTTTCTAAAGTGTGGATGAGCTCTCCTTCTCCTGCCTCTGGGGCACATTCACTTTTAACTGTTGTTTATCGATTTGTAAAAAAAATGGGTAATATTTTTAAAACGCATATCTGAGGTATCTTTGCTATATGTTATTTACACATAACATGTTATTTATATATACTGCACATATCAGTGATGAAATGGGGGGAAATCAACTGAGATGAAGTTGCTAATGCATTTCATCATATCGCATTCAGAAATGGAGCAACCTTGTGCTGAGGTTGAAGCAACAACTGCTTGGCACACAGCCTGACTAAGTGGCAGAACAGTGACCATGTAGCCCTTTCACAGCTCCCATGTGCTCATCATCTGGCTGATGTATGCCCATGCCAGCTGACAGTCAGTTTAAAATGCTGCTCCTGAGCATGGGTTTTTTTTCCCCAGTGGAATGTGGAAGGATTACTAAGAGATGAGTTCAGCCATCATGCCTCACAAAATATCCTAAAAGAGCATGTATTTACAGTAGGTGATGATGTGCCAACTTTTTCATTGAGGCTGTGCAGTGATGAAAGAATATGGAGTGGATGAAATATCACCAGCACTAAAGAATCTATTAAAATGTCATTCAGGGGTCGTAATAATTGTTTTGTTCATTTTTCCCAGCATATTTATATTAATGAACTGTACCAGTAAATAAAAAACATGGATAGCCCACTAGTGGACAGGTCTTCTCCACTAATAATAAGCACAAAAACTGTATGCAAGATGCAAAACTTTTCATCTTTTTATGTTGATGTTTTGCTGGACAAACAAAGCCATATAGTGCTAATCCTAGTTGTAAAACGGTGGATGAAGGGTACAGTATCTGGTGTGTAAGTCTGTTCAAATGTGATTGTGAAGGTTAGCCACTGAGGTACAGTAACTGTAAAGGAGACGGCAACATGGCAGTAATCCTTTGTTAATCTGATAATTGAATTCTGAATTGACATTCCACAATATACTGTATATAATCCTCTCAGTGGTTCCATGGCTGTGGTTCCACCAGGTGGAGCTCTGCCACAGTAAGGGTCCTGCTTGTCCCATTTGATTCAGTCTTTAAGATATAATTACCCACTAGATAATTAGCTTAAATGGAGGACACTGACATTGTTATTTATTAGGCAGATCAGTATCAGCAGCGTGTATGTAAATGACAAAGATACATTAATTCACAGGCTGACAGAATGTACCACACAATAATATCATATTATATATATATATATATATATATATATATATATATATATATTACATAATATGTACAATGTCATGTTCCAAGTCGTCTGTCCAGCAAGCTAATGCCCAAGAGGACTTTAAGGTTTGAATAGCTGATGGATCAGGGGTCACCTTCACCGTCATCTGATGTCACACTGTAGGAAGACAGTTTAATTGAATTAGAAATGTGTTTGTTGGTGTGTCAGTATGTGGCTGCGGTTTTATGCATTATTGCTATTTGTGATACAGTAGAATTGCAGGTAAACCCCAGTAGAGTACTGTATGTAGTTGTAGAAACATTAGCAGAATACTAACTGCTGGTAAAGTTGTTTTGTTAAGACATTAGTAGGAGTAGTGATACATGTGTCAGCTCTGTTGCTCCATGGTTAATCAGTTTCATTACACTCACCTGTGTCCTGTGATTCCAATTACATCAGTACCGCCCCAGGTCAGCCGTGACCCGGAATCAAACCGGGGTTGCTGTGGCCACAACGCAGAGTAGTAACCACTATAAGAACATGGTGAGCTAGCTGGTATGAAATGCAAACCAGAATAACATCTCTGTGTGGGCTTGAACCAGCAAACCGTCTCCATTAGTAGTGATAGAAGAAGAAGAAGACTTCTACTGTTGCTAATATCTTTACACTGTTATTAAATACTGCTTTAGGTATTGTATTATAGTATAAAAAGGTGTATAGTATTGTATTAACAACATTGCATGACAATATGTTTGATCTCTCCTATATATATACTTGTCAGTTTCTGGTGTTTCCTGTGCACAGGAAGAGCTTGTTTTTGTGAAAGGCAGCCACTGGATATAATGAGTGGAGTCCTTTACGCCCAAACAACAAACACTTAGCGGTTAAATTATAGCATGAAATATTACCTGGTGTTCCCCACAGTCAGAGAGGCTCACAGAGCTGCTCCTGAGGATATAGAGTAATGGGCTCTTTTTTTTTAAATTGTACTTTTTTGTCTCTGCTGTGGGGGGAAAAAGAGTAAAAGACTTTCTTTTTCTTCTTTTATTTTCTGTATCTCTGCAATTTGTTTGACTGCATCTCAATAGGAACTCATTTGGAAATAATAAAAAAAGAACGAACAACAAGAGAACAGACGACGGTACGATTGTAGCGAAAGTTCTAAGGGTTTACTGTGTGATCCCACCTGGGGTTGGTCGTATTTGTGGACGTCTGAGGGGAATAATGGCGTTCATTACAAAGGGCTTAGCTGATAAAAGATTCAGTATGTTGAGGGGATAGTATGCATCTGCATCTACGTTTTTCTTATGAGAAGGATTATTTTTTGTCTGAGGCTTGTGAGCACGCTCATACAGTCGGTTTCCCAGCGTTTTCTGCGTGGTGACAGACATGGGCATCCAGATGGTGCGAACACCTTGGTGCATCAACTAACATATTCTTTCCACTTTCTTCTCATCCACATAGCTCATTAGTTGCTCACATGTACTTATTAATTAACATTTAGTGTTTACACATGGGTCACAGCCAGAGACTGGGAGAAAAGATCTCCAGAACTCTTTAGGTTTGAACCTGAGTGTCACAATATACTTAAAATAAAATACCAAATTGGGCAATTATTTTATTTTATTTTTTTTACATCTCCTGAAAACCTTGTGGGGAAAACAAAGCCTTTAGCTTCATGGAGTTATTAAATGAAACACAGCCAATTATTACCTTCTACTTTAATTTGACATTTCACTGGAGGAAGATTATAAAAAAATTAATCAGGACTGAAACACATTCATATAAACCTTTTGGGGGAGTCTTGTTTTTGTTTTGTTTTTGAGGCAGCACTTTGTATATTTCAGTCAAATAGTAAAAACAAAAAATAATCCATGAAGGAAGCATATCAAGGAATTACTCTAGAAAAGTATATTACAAAAATCATGAATATAGTAATATATGTATATAATTTCACATCAGTATCCATCAGTGGTGCTGTTAGAAGGAAGTTGGCTGCTATTAAAACTCAAAGAATAACATTTAGGTACAAGAATACATTCTTGAAATGTGTCTAAATGCGCAGTGTTTATGAATAGTTAAGTTGGCAAAGCACATTTGAAATTTCCGATTCTGACTATCATATTTAAGTAGTAATAAACTATATCAAAATGCTTGTGGAGGTGTACGGCTCCATGGATTAAAAAGACACCTAGCGCTATAATAGCAAAGAGTATTACTTCAGGTTGTATTGTGATTAAATACAGGCTTAAATATATTTTTGAAACGCTCCTTTTTTATTCAGTCTGTAAACGTATTAATCAAAACATTTTGACCAATAACAGGAATGAATATGTAAAAAAATTGTACCAGTGCTACCTTTAACATTTGAAATGCCTGTAGTCATGGTGGCGATGACGATTACAAAAAAAAACTATATCCAAAGTGTGTGCCACAGTGAGACACACTGGGTTACTGTGCAGAGATAAAAGGCTGTGTGTTAACTTTGAACAGCAGGATAACTACCCAATTAAAGCGCATCTCTCATCTCCATAAATCTCACCACGCTTCTATTATTTTCTTTATTGATGTGAATATGTGTCCAATTAGACGCACTTTCATGTTTACAAAAAAACCTCAAAGCCTCTGCCAAGCCATGACTCTGCTGTGTTTGGAAAAACATCATTTGTAGATTTTTTAAAAAAGGAGATTGTCACAGTTTGTCCTGATAATTTAACAGTTTAAAAAAAAAAGATGAGCCAAACAAAGCATTTGAGAGTAGTTGTCACCGTTAAGCTGCTTTTTGTTGTTTGGTTGTGGTGTGGTGTCTGGAGGGTCAGGCACTTGGCCCTTCATCAGCAGCCATAATAAAATGTCACTTTGTGATAGAGCATAAAAGCAATACTGCTGATAAGTGGGATTCTCTCTTCTCTCTGGAGCTCCTGAATGTGAGGCTGTGGCAGAGAAGCCATTACAGAAGTAAGGAGCAGAACCGTAATCTGATCGTGTCCCAAAGGGGTGAACGCATCATCAGTCAGCCATGGCATGATCTCAGCTTTCTGCCCCAGAGCAAATGTAAACGCCCCATTTATTCCATGTTTACATGGGATGACATTAGTGCTCTTCATGGGTGAAGCCTGGCGTCTGTATCTCTATGTTAATGTATTCTCTTACCTTGATGCACAAAAACAAGTGGTTGAGTTCTTTGAATACAAACGAACAAAGTGGATTGTCCACTGGATTAGGACCAAACTGAAAACTGATAAATTCATTCATTAAAGACTAAGATAATGCGTGTGTTAACATTTTGTTACACAACACCTTATCAGTATGATTGCCTGTGATCACAGTGAAAAGTAATTTCGATATTTCTGGTTTTCTTAGTCAAGAAATATTTTAATCATTCATAATTTAACATGAGAATAGAAGTTTTTCCTACTTTTGTATATTCAAAATGCATTTTGCAAAAGATTTTTTTCTTGCGGGGGAAAATCAAATCATGTCTCACCTGAGTGGAGGACACATTCATTCACACGGGTGTGAGTGTCCTGCAGGAGGCTGGAGTTGTTGAATTTGAATGAGAGAACCAACGGTACAAATGTAATCAAAATGAAATCAGTGTCTGAAAAAAACCTTCTTTATAAGGATTGCAGAGCTGCATTAGCTCAACAATCTGCTGACTACACGCTGGCAAATAAAGCAGCAGAACTCATCGAATTACTCGTAAAAAAAGCTCCCCTACAACAGCTCTTTCTCTCCTTTTGGATTCTGTTACACAACAGCACAACATACTCCACAACTCTGACTACTTATTAGAGTTGTTCTGTGAGGGTAGACACTGCTGCCAGGATGTTCCCTCTGACTGTTTATCTTCTTCAGCCCTTATCTCTTTTCACCATAGATTTAAAATAAAATTATGGTTGTAAGGCGGATTAGAAATATTGTTTCGTACAAAGTGTATGATTAGGTTTGGAAATAGGGCAGATATTATGTAATCTTATGTTTTTATTTGTTTTTATATGTATTCTTTTTCCTGTTCTTAGCAATATTTTCCACCTCTAGAATCCTAAATCTTTTGCAAGCCAAATTACATATATAATACCTCCTGCATACTTTGATTATCCCCCAAAGGAGCTTAGTCAGGCCCAAAAAAAGTACAGAGGAAGTCTTTCGGGAGAACCCACTATCACTTTACCTGAGCATCTGAATAGAGCGGAGGAAATCTGAGGCTGGCTGCACTGAGAAACCTTTATTGATGCAGAAAACTGAGAAAGAAGAAGAACTGGCAACGTCTTTGTGTGGTATATCAAGTTAGGGTATCAAGAAATCTCGTAATGATTGCTGCAGGTTGTTGGATTCTTATCGACATCACTGTTTGTATTCCTCCCACAGTGTATGAGACCAGAAGTTTATAATGTAGAACATAAGTCACTAATTTACTCATTTTAATTTGGGCCTGTATTTTGCCCTGTGGTAAGTACTTCAGTAAACCAGACACAGGGCGACTTTACACAAACTGACATCTGCTAAACAAATGTTCAACTGCCTGACGCAGATCTGTCAGTGCACCTTTTTAGACAGGAATCCAGTCCTGGTTTTAACGTTTTATCTTTACAACAAAGACCATTATGTTCTACAATCTTCCCTTTGATTGATGTTCTGTTCTGGCCTCATTCATTATCTCACGTCTCCTCTTGTCTGCACTGTGATGGCAGGATCATAGAAAAGGCAAAATAATTACAGTGAAATTGATCATTTCTTCTTCTTTTTTTTTTTTAAAAAAGCATTCGATTCTAAAATGTAAAGTCGTAGTCATAGCAGCTGTGGCTCTCCATTATTTTATATCCAGGCATGTGATGCAATATACGTAGCACAAGTCCTGCCGCAGTGTTATCTCTGCTAATCTAAATCTAAAGTTGAGGCAAAGATCGATAAATAGAAAGATGGAGCCTATGGAGAGGAGAGAAGCCTATAAGCTGCTGTCACCGTGATGAATAATCCTCCAGGGAATCAGATTTTCTCCATTCTACAGCTTCTTCCGAGAGGA